ATTCGCGATATAGAGAGCACAGATGAAAATTTTAATCAGCGTGATGGCTAAAAGAAATGCTGTTGAACAAACAGTACTCCACCTATAAATAAGACTGATGCGAACCATTACCTTTTTACAATCCATGGCCTATGAACTAGCATTAATAACGATGCCAATACACAGAGCCCATAGCGTTGTTAAACCCGTGATGACGTATATAACAACATTGATTAGCATCACCTACCCGTGATGACGTGTATGACAACAGAGGCAAGCATCACTCATCCGTGATGACGTGTATGACAACAGAGGCCAGCATCACTCACCCGTGATGACGTGTATGACAACAGAGGCCAGCATCACTCACCCGTGATGACGTGTATGACAACAGAGGCCAGCATCACTCACCCGTGATGACGTGTATGACAACAGAGGCCAGCGTCACTCACCCGTGATGACGTGTATGACGACAAAGGCCAGCATCACTCACCCGTGATGACATGTATGACAACAGAGGCCGCCTGAGCGTTCGAGGGAACGCAGCTGTAGTTGCCGGAGTCGCTGGCTGACGCGCTGCCCAGACGTAGCTCGCTCAGACCGCCTCCATCGTACAGCACGCTGAACTATAGCGTGAAAATTTAATAATTACATACAGCGCGCTGAACCATAGCGTAAAAATATAATAAGGACATACAGCACCCTGAACTATAGCGTGAAAATAAAATAATGGCTTTTCTCGAAAATGCTACTACTTCAGTCGGACAGTATGCTGACTTATAGCGTGAAGGATACACTAATGACTTTAAAACAATAATGCATCATAATAATGGCTGCACTGTAAAAGTTCTCAAGTGTGACACCAAGGGGAAGTATATAATACTTTCAGAATGTCACAGTCGCACGTCGAGTTCTTTATTTAATTTTTTAATGAATGCACATAATGGTTACGAAAAAATTCATGCAAGGATTAAAATCCTAGAAAAATATATAATATTCATAGATATTGATCAACAAATAATACATACCGAAATGAAGTAATAATATATTTAACATGGAAATAAATAATTATATTGACGTAGGAATATATCATATTTTATGAAGAATTATGATGTATTTTTATCCATGGCCTCCTTTCTTACAATATTTTAATCCTAAAATAATTAGTTGAGTTAGTTACAAATTATTAGGGCTCAAGTTCTGCATCGTAGTAAATGATATTAATACATCATTTATCGAGTGGGTGTGAGTAATTTCTCTAATACATTTCTTTGTTACTAACATGAGTGCTAAAAAGTTAAGAAAATGTGAGTCTGTAAATCCGTAGACTAATTCCTTTAAGAATCTGTCCTGACAAATATCTGTTCAAGAAATCATGACTCAATACTCTTTGAATTGACACAGTTCTGCATCCCACATACAGAGACACACAACTAAAAATTCTCATACTCTGCTGATTTTTTTAAAATATAGGTAATTCATCTAATGCACACCACTAAAACCTTTAAAAATATAACCATTTGCGAGTCAAGCCACCCCACTATTCTTGTAGTTGATCTTTCTGTTGTTCTGGTACCAGACGACTTAATTTGTAAAATTATCCCGCTTTCTTAAATTTCTTACCTGTATATTAAATTATCCACCTTTCATATCATATAAAAAACCTACTTCATGTACATATATCTATCCATTTAAGAGTCAAGTCAGCCCACAAACCTGTCTTCGGTTGTCATAGTTGATCATTCTGTTGTTCTGGTACCAGAAGACGTAGGTCGGGGGTTCGGTGTAGCGCTCGATGGAGCACTGAAGATGAACTGAACTGCCAACTTGTATGTACATTTCAGGACCTCCTGCGATGGTTGCTACAGCCTCTGTAGTGAACGCGACAAATGACTGTTATTACCGTGAGAGGCGGAGTGGATGGCTGGAGTATAGACCTGCTCAAAAGCTATTCGCTGAACTGTGCCAGAGACTGGTACGAGAATTTCTTTATTATGAATATCCTTTGCACATTTAGAGGTATACTGAAACTGTTTAGTCTTCTTATTGAAATAGAAGAAAGCTAGCTTTATGGGTATTTTTCATTTATAAACCGGTAAATGAAAATAAAATAATTTTCATATTTTAAACATGAAAAGCCTTTTATTCAACACTTTTGCAGCTCCCTTGTAAAGGAAAATAAACTTTCAATGTAATTCTCTAATTTCTTGGCTCAATAGGATAATTGTGGGGAATAGAGTATCCGTGAATTACCAAGCTAAAATATTTATCAAATGAATTTTTATTTTGTGCTTACGCACGCATTAAACTCTCGCTAAAAATCAACAGTGAATCCTTATTTTCAATTAAAATTCATCTGCATTGAATATCAGTAGGCGAACAAGGAGATTATTTCTCACCGATAACGTTAAGTTTGGTGAGAACTCCAATGGGTGGATGCGCATTAAGCTGACACTCGTAGATGCCCGCGTCGCGAGGCTGAGTGAAGTGGATGTGAAGTGTCCAATCCTTTTGAAAGAATAAAACGCCAAATGAAGTGAAGTGGGTGTAACAATAATGTTCTGTTCCATATTAAGTGTTTATCCAAATAATGCTGAGAGGTGAATTTAGTTCCGGGATTGCATGTTTTAATTCTGAACTTATATTCTGAATTCATTTTCAATTAGAACCGAAAGATTTCATTCAGCTGTGAGAAGTTTAGGTCCTGATCAGTTAAATTTGTGAATTATCTGCCTACTGATTGTTTCAATACAAAATTTTCCTTGCACTGTCATTCAATCAGCTAATTGTTAACTTTCATCAAACTTGTCTTTTTTTATGCTGTTCTTCTGACGAGTTGTTTATAAATATTGTAAATCAAATTCTAGCTTTAAATAGATTCACGAAAAGTTTTTTACTTAATTTAATTGACCGGTAAAAAATTCATTTCATATACAATATTTCTGCTTTCCGTACTTATTAATATTTCGAAGGTCAGGCCGAAATGTCAGCACAACAACACTGCTGAGCTGAGTAGATTTATTAATTACTTTGCAGGAAAATTTTCATCATTAAATTTTTCGACTCACCTTTGTGTTCTGGTCGTACGTGACTTGGAAACGATCGTCCGATGAGTGAGTGGTGGAGCCCAGGGTGATCAAGTGATGATCTCGGTGTCTGATCCATGACACCTGGTTGCAAATATAAATTCGGAGCCATTTATTTTTATCGATCTTGGTCTGAATTTTTTGGTAATATTTTAAAGAAACACTTGCATTATAATGAATGCATGAAATTTTTAGCGTTCACCTTGATTTAGCGTTCACCTTCAATTTTTAGCGTTCGCCTTCTCTGGGTAAGATATAGTATGTGCAAAAAAGGCATTTCACAAAAAGTTTCATCTAATTTCATTATATCATTTGAAACAGATTCAAATAAAATTCTAAAGCAGTTTGGATTCGTTAGCAGAATGAATTTTAATTGTACATGGTATATAACCTTTTTTATGTCACAATAAAATTCCCTCACGTACATGAAAACCCATTTTCACAATTCCATCTGTTCAAATGTTTCAATATCTTTACCCCCGCTCCGTTAATATCCGTAGTTCTGGCTCTGATAAAACTGTCCGGTGGGCATTAAATGGCTCGAGCTGTACAAATGATGGCCGGTATTTTGCGCGCGTGTTTAAAGAACTAATAAAACCTTTCCGTTACCTCAGATGAATCTGTTTGAGTTTCATTTCAGGGGCACCCTTCTCTTCAACGAGCGGGACTGAAAGATCTTCTTCCCTAACAAGGACCAGAGCGCTCAAAGAAACGCGCAATCAATGCGAAACATTTTGAGAATATTTGGTAAGATATCATGAGAATGAGATATTTTTAGATAGTCTTCAACAACTTCTTATGAACAGAAAACTACAATTCTGTGATCTTTATTAGGTTACTAATATTTATGTAACTTTATAACACTGAACATGTAGGAGCGAAAATATTTTGTTCATATATTTGATTGGTTTTCCCGACAAGGAATGGGCCAGATGCATGTAGTCAAGAAATTCAATTAAAAGATGAGTTCTTGTAAGCACGTCAGAAATTTATTATTCTACTCACTTTCTTCGCTTATTTTCTGATCTTTTCTCATGAACAATAATTATTCTGTAATCGATATTGTCGAGAAGATAATTGTAAACAAAAATGATAAAAATAACAAAAAAAATGTATATGCTGTTAAAACAGTTTACTGCCCTCAAATCATGAATATAGAGCGTGATGAACTTAAAGGGCGTTTATTTCTTATAAATGTGCAAATGTTTTTCAATTACTTATGTTAAAATTTATTGTCTAATTAATTTGTTAACGTTTATACGCTTATCGTTTGTCTCGTGTTAAGAGGCATAGTCGACGCTCGTTAGCTCGATCTTACTCACTATTGCTTTAACCTTACCGGAGTGAAGACCTCTTGCTCAAACAGTATTATTACTTTTGTTAACTCTTGCTTATCTGTTACTTAATTTGAGTTTGTGCGAGTGTGTTTTCATTTTATTTTGTTCAATTCAATGCATGTTAGAACTTCTGTGTTTCGCTCGTTTAATTAAGTTCTTGCTTTACCGGCTTTACGCCAGTGCTTTGAACCCGTAGGGGTTATTGGTTCCTTGGAGTTTCGGTGTATACCGATTATGTCACATGCCTAGTGCTGTGAATTAACTTGCATGCTTGCATGCGCTTTACTCTTTAAGTACGAGCGAACACTCCTTATACTGTTTTCACTATTTTCATTCTAATAGTTCTCTACATGAGAACTCTTGTCTAGGGTTCCTCAACGGAAACAAATAGGTTTGTTAATTTGATTATTTGAAACTATTATCATTATTCTGAATTTATATTATTTTTGAATCATACTGAAATCCATTGCGGTATAACTTTGAATCTATTAATTTTAGGCTTAAGTTGGTTTTCTGTCTTATTCAGATAAGAATCCACCCAACCGCCTCTACTTGGTCTTCAACTCTGCCGTTTCTTATTTTTGAACTGAACTTCTTGCTTATACGTTCTGTTGCCACCGGCATATATGGTGAGAATTGGAGAGAGAGACATCCCTGAAACAGTGACTCTTTCAACTGAAATTAAATATTGTGTTCTGAACTCCTATCGTTTGAACTTGTACTTATGTGAGAACTTATTCTTCTACAGTGCACGAGTTCCTCATCGCACTTCGTGCTTTTCATTACCTCCTGGCTTCATTCTGCGAACCAATTCTCTTTGCGGAACCACAATAAAAGTTTCAACGCTTTCTTTGTTTTTTGATTTCCAATTGTACCAAAATTCAATACTTATTCAATAAATTGATCGCTTGCGATATTCCAGTTTGCGGTTCAAATCAATTGGTATTTTTAGAAATTACCTGTTCTTCTTTCGTTGAAATCAAAAACTTCGAATGTGCGCAAATTTTTTAGTTGCCGCTTTAATATATTAAGGTACATTTGCAAAGTGGCATTAAAAATACGAAATGCTTCATTAAACTTTCTCTACAGAACCGTCGTTTCAGGCGTAGGCTCGATCACTCAGCACGCCTCACTTCCCATCAAAAAAATCCCTTCCACTCGAGTCACCCAATTCCTCGCAAGAGTTTCCACCCACTCAAGCTCACCCATTTGGAAAATTTGTCTACCACAGGAAAAGGCATTGGGATCTCAAAAAAAAAGTTACTAGACTACTACTTTCATCATCTGCGGCATAGAGAAGTTGATGAGATTTGTTCACCTGCTATAATAAATATTGTCCATAGTTGTAGTATAATCAATATGAAACAAAATTTTAATCTTAACTATGTTGTTGAATTCCTGAAAAGCTTCTTTCTACTAAAACGACTTAACTTATTATTGATTTCTGGATGGAATTTTCTGCGATATTCACTTATTGTTTATCATTTCCCAGTCACTGTTAATTGCGTGGGAACGTGGGAATTTCATAATAGAAACTCTTCACCGTGTAATCTTTTAAATGCTGCTCGCAAATATCGAACCATTTCAATTTCTTAACATTTAAATATTCAGTATGCTTTTAAAAGAATTACTGGATTCATTAAAAAAATAGTTGCGGATTATAAAAAATGGTAAGAAAAATTATTCTTAGTATTGCACATTTGTCAATTCTGCTCGTAGTAACCTAATAGAATGGGATAATTCTTCGCGATCCGACGTGCGAGCGAGATAAAAGACTTCGAGCTCAGGAAGTTGGTTTGGTCACACAACATGAACTTCAGTATTCGGTATCTCATGTGTGATCTGAAATATTTCGCATAGTCTGCTCATATCAACTAAATGACTTAATATTTTACGAGAAAATTTCTGATTTTATTTTAGTCAGCCTCGAGTTTGGCGAGTGAATCTTAATTCCGGCTGAAATAATTTGAGATTCGCTGATTGTTTTCAATTTCTTCATTTGTTCATATTTGCTCCTGGAAACTTGATGACGAAATCATAAGCCTTACACCTAATGATCCACAGATAAAAAATATCAAATGAGATCTTGATGCAAAAATCTTGAAGTCTCGTAATTTTAATATTTTTTTTAATTCCCTCTCATGGAAATGAGCCTTATAACAGTGTCAAGTTATACCCCTTATAGTCTTTCAATATTTTCTCTCTTTCAATAATTTGCCGCAACCATTTAATTCAAAACGCGATTGAATTTTATACAATTCCTGCGCGCAACTTTTATTAAAAATAATTAATTATGAGGAACTAATATGCACCATGTTATATATCTAACTCAAAATGTTAAAATAATTTCAATTGACTGTTTATAAAGTATAAAATATGTCGAAACACGGGGGCCGTTATTTCTTCAACGTCAGAATTGACTTTTCTGATTGCTAACGTTTATTACGAAAAACAAAAACGAATTTATGGATTTGTGAAGAGAAAATGCGAAAAAACTTATGAAGAATTGTCTCGGGCAAAAAAGTAAATTTAAATTTTTTCCCTCTATTTCAATGCACTTTTTGGCATTGAGAAGTTCTTTAAGCTTATACAACCTTTGGTTACTCAAGCTCTAATATCAATAATGCAATGCATGTCATTAGTTTCCAGATGATCGTCATTAGAATGTTCTAGTCAATACGGATCATTGGTACCTAAAGCTTACTGTACGCATGACAGTTGATTACTTAAAATTAAAACAAAGTGGATATTACGAAATAATAATTCCAAGTATGTATATCCTCCTGATATTTAGACTTTCGTCACAGCTGCTTTAAACGACGTGACACTCGCAGAAGCAAAACCTGCAGACCCGCAATTATATGATTCATCTCTTTTCGGAGCGAATAATTTTATCAAATTAATTGGAGTAAAATCTGGACAGCATATATTGAGCCCACAACAATACAACCACGGAGAAACTGGTGGCAGCAAACGAATTTCCAATTGAATGCAGTTGTATGTACATCATTTACTGACTGCATTTCGAAATAATGAATATTTTACAAGTAAATTATATTTTAGTTATAATATGTTTCAGTATTATGCTTAACACATAACTCTTTGAAACTCACGGTCTCGAGAGCGCCCACTTGGAAGACCTGACACCTGAGGGCGGCTGTGCTGCCGACCTGTACGGTCACCGCCGTGTTGTTGGGCGTCAGTATTATTATTTCAGTATAAAGCTTTACATATGACTCTTTATAACTCACGGTCTCGAGGGCGCCCACTTGGAAGACCTGACACCTGAGGGCGGCTGTGCTGCCGACCTGTACGGTCACCGCCGTGTTGTTGGGCGTCAGTATTATTATTTCAGTATAAAGCTTTACATATGACTCTTTATAACTCACGGTCTCGAGGGCGCCCACTTGGAAGACCTGACACCTGAGGGCGGCTGTGCTGCCGACCTGGACGGTCACGGCCGTGTTGTTGGGCGTCAAGAAATACGCCTCGGTGTCCCGCGGCGGCGCCTCGTCCTCGTAAGGCCCCAGCAACTCGCCTGGGTCTGGCGCCCACGGAGAACCTGGCGATAACAAGTAATTTTCCTATTCACTAGATGATTAATATTAGTGTTGTTATTGAATAAGTATTGAATTCATAAGATGATTATTATTAGTATTATTATTCATAAGATGATTAATATTATTATTCATGGGATGATTAGTATTAAACTATTCTGATGATCAACGAACAATAGTTTTTAGCACATTTTCTCATTTATGAAAAAAGGCGCTATTGTGCTCGCCATGTCCGTCCGTCCGTCTGTCCGTCTGTCTGTCCGTCTGTCTGTCTGTCCGTCCGTGACTTCACATTTTCGTCGACGAGGAAATGCGCTCACTACTCACTGCAGTGAGTAGTGAGTTATATTTTTGCCTTTTACATTTCGGTGTTGCCTTTTTTTATGCAACATTTTCTATGAGATTTTTTAGAGCATTTTGACACTGCAGCGTTAAATGTGCTATTATTAGCCTAATATTATTTACAACAAGAAGCACCATTTTTACTTTCAGCATTGGATTTTGCATGGTTTTCGTAATGCAAAATCTTAATTGGACGAACCAGTTATGCTGATATGCATGCTAAAATAGTTGTATCACCTTAAATCAGTTTCAACAATAGAAATTTTTCATAGCTTTTGGCAACACAGCACAGAGATGATTACAATGTATTTATGATAAATATGGAAAAAAATTGAAAGTCACTTTCCTCGCTCTCAGTGTTTAAAGTAGTAAATTTTAGTTTATTGCGCTTATTCCCGTACAAAAACAAAATTTAATTTTCTAGGAAAGAGTTCATTGCACGCATATGCATCCCAAATTAAAACAATCGCAGAAAAATATTTGTAAGCTTTATGAGATATTAATTACATGCTTTTGATCTTTTGATGCTCCCGGAGTTGCATTAAATAAAACTATTCATGTTTAAATGAATACCCCAGTCCATATGTGTGTAAAAAATTCAAAATCGGAACAACGAAATTGTACCAAAAAAATTCTAACCTCACAGACTTTAGCACACACTGAGACGTAGTCAGAACAAAAGAATCGCACATAATTAAGGATTCAATCAAGAAGCTTGTCGTATTTCAGACTTAAAACGCCTCAAAGGAATTTTTAAAAAGGCCCGGAAAAGTTCAAGCGCAAGTTTGTGTTCTTTGCGGGGATGAATATTTGAACGTGAAGCATATAAACCAGCAGCAACGTCGCAAAGGTCGCGCAGAGATGCAGGCCTCATGAATATGCAAGCGGTCGGAGCCTTAATTTTGAGGCAAAAAGTTGAAATATTCGTAATTGGAGCTTTCTTAAAAATTAACTCTTAAAGTAAAGTTCAGAGTTTTTATATTTAAGCAACGCTTGAAAATAGCATCGGAAATAGTAAAAGACCCAAACGACTTGTTCTACTAGGACGACTACCAAACGACTTCTAGGTACTTTCATGCTCACAGCCGAAGGTCTAGAAATTTTGAGAAAAAAATTTGAACATGTTATCAATATTAAAGATTCCTTGGTGGCCCACGAAGATCTCTGAAAATTTCGAGATTATTACTTTAGGTGTTAATGTGAGTTCTGATTTACTCAGAAAATTGTTGCAGCGCTATTTTTGGGGGCGAAATTAAAGTTTACTCAAGCAAAATATTAAAGGGTTTTCGTCCTTCTCAATGAAACTCTCAAGTGTATATTTTACACGGTAGATGAGCATAGTTAAGACACGCAGAGCAAGAAATAAAGAGCATGAGACGAATTTACATTTACTATCTCAATTTAAATTTAGTTCGTATTTAGGTGATGTGAATGTTAAAGTCAGGCAAGTCCTTGAATCTCCTTCTTAAACGTAAATTGCGGTCCTGGGTCTCAATGAGCATCAAGTTGGAATTTAGATGCCTTCTCTGAGCAATTTATACGGTCTCGGGGACATCATTTTGGCCGAATTTCCGACTGGCGCTCTGATTCTCTGTATCGAATGGCAGGGTTTGTGAAAGTTCATGACTCAGCATTGCAAGCGTCATCCGATATTTGGATCCGAGATCTTTTGTATAGAGTTTCCGTTTATCAAGATTTCCTATTTAAAATTCCTTATGAATACCAATCTCAGATTGACTCGTTCATAAATTTCTTAAAGAGTTTCCGTTTTCTGAGCACATTCCAATTTATAGCGATTGCGATTCCATACCTCAATTTCATTTTCTGTTTCACTTTATATTAATCGTCATCGTACATAGTGAATGTAAGAAGTATTTGTTGAGTTCTTTCGCGATGTTTTATTTTAAATTAAGTTTGTATGTAGTTTATCCAGGTGAGTAAAAAATACTTTATTTTACCTGATCTAAGAAAAATAATGACGATATGTATTCCAGCTCAAATGAAAAATTTAATTGTACTTATATTAGTTGATATTAAAAAAAAACACAAAATAATGTCAAAAACAATCTTGTACCTACGTATATATATCTATTCCAGAAACTGATGTCAAAGCTGGTTTACTGCTATTCCATAGAACGAGGAATAAAGTAAGTAGGGTTGTCTTAATTATTTGTTTCTACGGATGCATTCGATTTCAAATACACTATATGCGCTATTTTGCGTGCAAGTTGCCATATTTGATCACTTAAAATCGCCTCCCAAGAAGACCAACCACGGCCCCCGGTCCGTGTTTGAGGTTCCGTTATCATTCCCCGGCCAATCAACAATTATCTCACCATCGTTCCATACAAAGCATCACCCCGTACAATGCTCACGAACAAAAATATGAGCATAGAAATGAAAGTTGGACTCGGGCAATGAAATTGACGCACTTTCCGTATTTTTTAAAAGGTGGCTGTTGCAATATAAATTCAATCAATATGAGTAACTTGATGAAGTTCAGTTGAAATGAGGCTGGATAACTACTCTTTACATATGAATGTTTGAATTTATGTTACATATCATTTTTTAGTGAAGTGGCCGTATTTAATGCATGATTATTCTACTGCGATTTTCTCCTTCACCATGTAATTTTTTTAGTAAATATATCATATATTGATCACGCTTTCGTATACTTTTTTCGTAAATTTGAATACATTTATATTTCTATGCTTACGCGCGAAAGAATTTGTTAAAAAATAATATACAGAATTTGTTATGACTAAATTCGTCTATGTAGTGCGCACAGAAATGGAAATGCTGAAGCAATGCAGACTTAGGTTTTATCTCCTTCACTTCTACCACTTGAATCCTGTGGCTGATAATGCGTGCTTTATAGCAGCCTAGCTGGCACAAGATCTGTGTGAATATCTTGAATTTTAGAACAAAAAAAAAGAGCTTTTATAGCGGCAACTATACTAACTTACAGGAAAGATATTTTACCACTGCCTTTCTATCGTAAATTAGAATTCAGTTCAAGCGGTACAAAAGGGAACGCCTTTTGTTTAACTTCCATTCACTGATCTGTGAAGAAGAAACCTTTTCTCACAATGTAAAAGCGAGAATCGACTAATTTTAATATATCTCTGTAATCGTTTATTTATGCCGCATCATTGCTATTTTTAGTATTTTAGGTATTATTTCAGAAAAAATTACGAATTACTTGAATGTGGAATTCCTAGAGCAAGGATAGCCCGTGTCCCATGTTCCTCCTCATGCTAAATGCACCCATGGCGACGTAGGCAGCTTTCCATGGCATCGTGCTCCAATTTATCATGGTCCTCTTGGAGCAATTTCGCTCGCATTTACGCCACTTCATTACGGATACGCAGCCTCGTACTACACCGTTCCTCTCAATTCACTGGCTCGGAAACACGATATGAACTCCTTCAATCAATCTCTCGTGTCACCGGCCACTCCTGACTTGTAAATTAACACGGAAATAATAAACGATGCGTGTGCCAGCCAAACAAAAGCCAGTAGACGAGCTCGCCAACCTGGCCTGGGCAAAACATGACAGGAGGCTACAAAATTGGTTTGATATTGCAACGGACGGCCGACTGCTGTGGCCTTAAAAATTGTAAACTCAAGGCTCCGAGACTTAATTTCATGTGCTCCTGCCGACCAAATAAGACGTCTTTGCTTTCTTGTGTCAAAAATTTAATTGAGGCATGCTTGTTTAATTAAGGTCGGAGTACAAATGGTTGTATAAATTCTGAATTTTGTGTATGTTAAGAAACACTCTCAGTATTGAAGTTTCTGTAAGACTTCTGACATAGCAAAGACCTTGATATCTCAATAATGTTTTTTAACTCCATGCAAACACAGCAATGAAGAAACTCATCAACGCTTGAGGTAGAAATGTGTTTAATTAATATTGCACTGTAATTTAAGATTCTTTTTATTGAATTATTTCTTCAAAAAATTGTAAACCCGAATCTGTTTTTTACAAATATTTTCTGAGCCGAATGAAAATTCCTTTCTGAAACAAATAAATGGAAATGAGATGGATGGTAAAGTCAAAACCGAATTTCAATTTTAATGACGTACATGTAATATAAATTTCCATTAGCTACTAATATCCACATTTCAGATGTTGATGTCATTCATATTACTTGGTTTTTCGATGTCACTGTGACTGTTTGTGACCGTGTCACCTCTACATATTATAATTATCATTCCAACCAGCAGACAACTTAATCACCCCTATGACGGTTACCGCATGACGGTGACAAGTCTTTGATGATTACAAACTTATTTGGAAACCGAAGACTTTAATTCTTAAAAGACTTTACGAAGAAGCTCGCCATATAAAAGTCTCAATTCAATGCCTGTTCTAATTTTCTGGCTTCATGGTGCCATGGATGCGGAAAAATCGAATAAGAAATGTAGAAAAACAATGTAAAATAAACCAAAAACGTAATGAATATTGTTTATAGCTTGAAAAAGTACAAAAACAAGTAAAAATCACTTAGAAATGTGCGAGTGGAAAAATACGTGTTTATCGAAATTTCAAGAAAATTAATAAAAACGACCTAAAAACTGTGAAATTGGTTGATAAATGTCAGTAAATGCACCCAAAATGCTTATAAATGCATATATAATGGTCTTTAGTGCGTAGAAAATGCTTTTAAATGCAAATAAAATGTTTTTGAATGCATGGAAAATATTTGTACGTGTATGAAAACTCAATTGAAGGAAATAAGATGAAAAAAGATGCAAGGCATGAGTTTAGACAATTTTTTATGCATTTATATGATATTAAAATAATTTTATCAATAGACCTGTATATAGTGGTAAGTAATTTCTAGTAAATACTTGTGTTCAATAAATTCATGAAAATCAATGAAAAATGCATAAAAATATTTAAAAAATGCATGCAAATCGCTTTAAAAAGGTCCGTGCATTATAAAAACAAACACTATCCTACGTACCCGGAATGAAATTACAAATTACTCTCGTTTAAGGCCTGCACGTAGCAATCGACACCCAGCCGTTGGGCTCTGCCTTGCAGCACTTTTGTCGCCTTCTTTATCATGGCGTGACATGAACCTAGATCAACATTCTGTGTCATTAATCCATTTACACGAAACATGTGCATTTTGTAGGCACTTGTTTCTGAACTTTTGTTCTCACGTTATGTGAAACTGCCCAAGCTGGTGTGGCCAAGTTGAATTATGTTCAGGCACGAACTCAGATTAGGGAAGTTGAGTGAAGTCGGATGTCGTGTGATTGCACGGTGACAGAGACCAGCAAAGTTTGGTCGTTAATATAGCGGTCGACCTCACTTGTTTACTAGGACTGGAGAGAACAGAGGATGTGTCGCATAAGCTACAGCTGCACATGTCGCACAAGTTATTATCGAAGGGGCAGCAAATCGCAAATTGTGCTCGAACAACAACAATATTTGCCACACAAAATTGTAATAAAGTTGAAGTAGTGCTAAAAAAACATTAAATGATGGAATGTTTATTTGCAGTTGATTTGTTGAAAATGGAATTTTGCTCGAACCAACACTATCTATGCGTAACTAAGCTGTATGAAAGTTGAGGTGTTGCCTCACTAACAACCTAAGATCATGGAGTATTTAGTCCCGATTCTATTTCTATGCTTTGAAATTTACTAACAATAAATCATGTAATTTTTGCGTTAGCTTGGTTCGTAATTTGTGTGCCATCTTTTTGAGAAACTATTTTCTTAAGAAATTGTTTTCGGGATTCAGTTCATTAATTTTTTTTAAAGTGGTATGCAATTCGATGTAATCCTTTCGATAAATTTTAGGATTAAGCCAGAGAAATAATGTCCTAATAAAATATGTCTTGACTATTAATAAAATAATAAATATATTAATTAATGACTATTAATAATGATGATCTCGCATACACTTATTCTTAGTTCAATACGACAATGGTGAATAATCGCGGCAAATTTTTCGACTAAATTTTTCGACTAATTTCAATCTGCTCCTTCTTTAATTAAAGAAATTGATCTAATAAACCTGAAATCTTTCCTATTTGAAGAATTTTACTTGAACTTTTGATTTAATTAACTAAACGATTGCGATTCCTTGCATTGTTCTTCCAACACAGATCAGCAGTTCGAGGAAATTCCTTCTCTTTCTCATTGAGGACGGGCGGATTATCCTCACAAGACACGGGCCTGCTCAGATCTCCTCACACGCGAGCTCATAACTCATTATGAGTAATCGTTGCGTGGCCTTCAAGTTTATACAGCCAATTTATTTAGCAAAAAAAGGCCTCATTATGCAGCCGATGAAATATCTTGGTCTACACAAGAGAACTTTTATCCCATCAGGTCACTCTGAATTTAATAATTAATATAGGAACAACTTCCGATGTGACTTTTTCTGCTCAATCAGTTTCACAACTCGTTGAGAAATATTCATTGGAATCCTGGAACTTTAACTGTAAGTCAGCAAAATTTACTGCAAACTGCAACGCCCACTACATTGAAATTCCGTCCACATGCAGCTGATCCTTTTACAGCCAACAAATTATATAATTATGCTTCATTTTCCATCAGTCAAATGCACTAATCAGGGATTACAGAATAGATGTAATCGAAAATGAATGATGCAATAATTTGCGACGAAGTTTTCATTTTTCAATCGAGATTTATAACTAACAGAATTTCATCCATAACTTTCGTAAACGTCATATATCAACATTTTTCGCAATTCAGTTACAAATTTAATCTGTTAGGAGCTCTTAACAAGAATAACCCTGTACTATCTTGATAATTTTTAATTTGGATTCATTCCAACTATGACTACGACCTTTAGGTACTGAATTTATGAAGATATATTAAGTTGATGCCTAAGCTGCAAGTCGCACCCGTTTAACTTTCGTAGTTTTTTATCATTTAGAGTTTTTTCACTCGTAAAACTTCAGTTCTCAGACACCATTCACAAGTATGCATAATGCAAAAAAATCAGTCCTGTAGCATCTGCTCAACGGAAAAACATTCAGAAATACTGCGGATAAAAAATTGCTAGTTGACCACGAGTTGTAACTCTAACCTCGAGTTGTCACGCATGCGAACGATATCTTTGCGTGTTCAGAGGCCTATTCTGAGCTCAAGAGCAGAAGCTGAAGTATAGTGCGACATTCTTTAAAGGAAGAATGATTTCGAAATAAGATTTAATGGCAAAAGCTGCGGACATCTTGACTATAGATCCTCGAATTGACGTGCCACTGCGGCGATCTCACGAACAGGACTCGACATGCAATGGCTTAACCGACAAATTCCAGTTTGTTTTTAACTTAGGTAGGAATTATGGTGAATTATTACTATATATTATATTAATGTGAATTATTTATCCACATTTCAGTAAGTAGATAGATAATTATGTCATTCGGCTGATTCTCAAAAATATATTCCTGTTATAAAATCTATCTTAAATTCATGGGACGTGGCCCTAGGATTTACAACCAACTGAGAACTTTATACATCGAAAACATTTCTAATAATTTTATCTCTGAACAGGAAGTACTATTTGAAAAAAGCACAATCTTGAGGTTCATTAAACATCGATAACTGTGTTTGAGTAGCAATCTGTTTGTCGCGGTGGTTAACTCAAACTCACCTTGAACACTGACGACTCTCACTTTGAAATGCTTTGAGATTTTTCAAATGGTCTGCTTTAGTTAATTAAAATAAAAAGATATATAAAGGTCACATATGTTTGTTTTTCTTCTGACAGCACTGTTTTATAGAGAATCAGGCCATCCATTTCTGTTCAAATGATACTTGAACAAACAAATTAGTTTAATGATTTATTGGCTAAAATCGGCAGAATTTTCCTGATGCCTAAATTACGAACAAAACTGTTTAAAAAAGCATTGAACACATGATTAGAGCACATATATATCCGTCAATAGACGTTAATCTCCTATGTTATTCTCCGATTGATATACTCAGCAAATCAACGAATGGCCTGCAATCGAATAGATTTTTATTTGGTGCAATAACTCGCGCAGTCTGACTAACGTGCTAAGGGACATATATTTTCAACCAATATATTTATTGTGTAATGACATTATTAATAACAAAATTTTCTAATCTTTCACCACAACTGTCACAATTTACTCTTAATATGAATCGACTAAATTGTAATCTTATACACGATACTTCAACGAACGTTCAATCGCGGTTTGTCACTTACATTGTTCGTGTGTCGTACCAGTTGCTGCTTATGTAAGTGTTTAATTTGTTGTGCATTACTGAACTTGAACTTAATACTGCCTATCACGGTTTTTTTCGTCATGTAAACTATTAATACTGTTCATCACAGTTTTTTATCATATGAACTATGTTCAATCTGGTCCGGTAACAACATTCTCACCTCGCCTCTCGCCGTTCGCGTGCGCCGTGACATGTTTCTTCTCGGGCGACTTTTCGACCACTTGGGACCAAGAGCCGACACTGCCAGCGCCATCTGCAGCAAGACAAAGGGATCAAGAAATTTCACAAGGTAGATCCGACGACTTTCTTTTGCTTGGAAATGCGACGTGTATTTTAGACGTTTGCAATGGCAGCAAGAAGGTAACATTTTCAGTCTTTTCCACAGAGTTAAAGATTGTAGGAAGGATAAATTTCTGGAGAGATTGTAAGAAAAAGGGATCAAGAAATTTCACAAGGTAGATCCGACGACTTTCTTTTGCTTGGAAATGCGACCTGTATTTTGGACTTGTGCCATGGCAGCAAGAAAGTAATATTTACAGTCTTTTCCACAGAGTTAAAGATTGTAGGAAGGATAAATTTCTGGAAAGATTGTAAGAAAAAGAGATCAAGAAATTTCACAAGGTAGATCCGACGACTTTCTTTTCCTTGGAAATGCGACGTGTATTTTAGACGTTTGTAATGGCAGCAAAAGTTAACATTTTTGGTCTTTTCTTGAGCGTTAAAGATTGTAAGAAGGATAAATTTCTGGAAAGAGTTTAAGAAAATGGGATCAATAAATTTCACAAGGTAAAACCAACGACTTTCTTCTGCATGGAAATGCGACGTGTATTTTAGACGTTTGCCATGGCAGCAGGAAAGTAACATTTTCAGTATTTTCATTAGAGTTAAAAGATTGTAAGAACGATAAATTTCTGGAAAGATTGTAGGAAATGAAAAATGCCCAATGTTAAGACAGCAGGGAAGAGCAGTATATTTTAATTTAGTATTTATACATTCAATTTTCTCCCTGCTTTAAAAAAAGCTAAACGAAATTGATTCCATATATTCAATATTGAACGAAATTGATTCCATATATTCACTATTCTTTTTGATTGTGAGTTTAAAGAAGATGGGAAACCTGCAGGAAATTTATTTAATTTAGCTCATCAATTCAAATCCAGTATAGTTTATTATTATTAATAACAATCTATTGTTTTTTCATCTAGTAATAAAAATAATAATAATATTAGTTATGTGAACCATAAGAATTATTGATTCGGAACGAACTATTAATCAAAAACTTTCGTGGAAATGGGCTGGGTTTTGAAGGATCAAAAAGACCCATTATGTAAAATGATCTCATTCTTTTAAAAATGAGTTGCCTTCTTATTTATACCATAGGTGTTGTGTGTTAATTCCATTCTGCTCCCTGAAACCGAATGCAGTTCGGTAAAAATGAAAGGATACATCCGAGTAAAATAAATAAATTGGAATAAATTGTTTAAATGAATAAATAGGGTTACAAAAGAGACGTATAATTAGCTAAAGCAGCAGTCGTAATAGTTTACTAAAGAGCTATTGAAAATAAAAATATAAAATAAACTGAATGTTTAAATGATTCTTCTATTTATAGTTCATTGATTCTCCAAAATTTAAAAACATCACATTTTCGTGAAATTTTCAAAATGATTGCATTCATCATTAAAAGTTATGAAACCGTCATTTCGCATAAAATATTTAAGTATTATTGTTCCATGCACACAAAGCTGTCATGCATTGAAAATAATTGGAAAAAAACTGAATCCACACAATGACACTGGCATAAATCAAGGCAATCTCTGCAAATTTGCATATAAATCAAACTTCCAATATTTATTTAATGAACATCCTAAAATTATAAAAAATCTTCGAAACCAATCATAAAAATGAAATTGTGCTCTGCGTGAAATCTATGGGAGTATCATACAAATAAATTATTTAAATTCACACCTGATTAGATGCTCAAACTTAACGCCAAAATAAAGCACATAAACTTATTGCAAATGAACGTCGCGCGTAGAATTCTATTAGCATTATATCCAGCAGAACCCGATTACGATAGCGGGTCGTACTGGTGCTTTAGATCTCATTACTTAGGCGGCACCAAGTGGAGTTCTGTCCAGTCCCTTATCGCATGTATAGCGGCCTCACGGGTTGCACTTACGCTACCTTAATTAATGGAAGCCTAAACTATGCCGCAGATTAGGAAGCTATTCCTCGCCTCGCATTCATGACACAATTCACGACACATTCAGTTGAGTTCCTCGCCGAGAAAGTAATAACGAAGAATATATACATAAACGTATAATCTTAACAGCAGATCTTGTTTTTAGAGTTTAAGTATCTTTACATAATAATCTAATTAATAATAACAACAATGACAATTTAATATTGATTTCTTATCTTAATGCAAATCCAGCACAGTTTTTCCTTCGTCCATATATATTTCATAGACCATCATAGGCGACTCAAATAAGAGGCGATTCAAAATCAAATAAAAAACTTACTTTGACCTATCTTAACCTAACCTAGCCATACGTTGCCCACACCCACAGCTTCCTTGCCCTAAACCATTACGGGTATACGGGGGGCGCAGAGATTTCTGGTTAAGTTAGCGCGCCATTGTCAAAGTTTGCTTCAAAGGCGCCGGCGTAATGGAGTCCGAGGTACGGGTGAGCCCTGATGGCATCATTGAACAACTGAAGCTTGCCTGCAAATTACGGGCCTTGGGTTGGGGATTCTGGTCAAGGAAGGTTTAGGCTGCGTTCATCCCGCGTTATCTTCGAGATTAATATCACAGCTTGATTTACTTAGAGGGAATGTTGAAAGGAATAAATATATTTCAAATGTGTAGCCTCAAATGAATTATGAGATAAGGCTTGCGAAAGTATTATTTTTATTGTAAAGAATTCGTTCAACTTCCTTGTATGACTGCCTAGAGAACTTAGAAATCTATTTTTAAATTTCAATGTTTAATTTTTATTACAGCATATCACGGCCATTGAACGAAAAGGCTTCGTTAAAACGATTTTTTTATGTTTGATCCATTCCTCTTTTATCCGCTGTGCACAAATTATTACCAATTACATAGATGGCATTGAATTTCGTCAATAAATATTATTGTCAAAAATTTCACCATTTCTTATAAGAGAAAACGTTTCGGAGTCCAGCTCCATCGTCAGTTCAAAACCTAGAACACAGGTACAAACAATTAGTAACCTAAAATTCACATTCAAACAATTCACCTAAACTTGAGACATTAGAACTAAAATCGAAGATAACAGAAATAAAAATGAGATGACATGTAGGGAAAGTACTATCTATTTACAATTTGTAGAGGATAGGAACTGAATGCAGCATTTAAACTGGGTTTCTGTTTAAAAATATATAATGATTCTAAAATTCGTAGGTATTTTAATTAATATTTTTCAATTTTATCCGTAATTCCCACCTGATAAATTTTCTCTTTTTTTTAGTTTAAAATTAACTCTTTCGCAAGAAAATTTTTCATTATATTATGGAACCATTATCTCCCTCATATATAACCCCAACTTTTTCAGTTTGAGATTAAGATAGTGTAAGCATCTTTTCTTTACCAATCTCTTCGCCGTAGCACCAGTAAAAACTTTTCCTCGACCTTGATCTAGAATTTGAATACAATCAATTGAATATTGGAAAAAAATCATCAATATTTCATTCGTAGGCGAAAGAGCTGAAAAATGCTTACAAATAAATTATTTTTGATTGGCGCACTCAATGAAACCGCACATTTTTTACTATGAAGTTTTACATTAAGGTTGTCTTTTGAAAAATATTTAGGCCAATCGAAATGGTTTTTATTGAAAATTTAATCTATAGTTTGCTGTATTGATTTATTTTGTCACGTCATCCCTGGAAATTTCAAACTATGCGAATTGAAATTCGTTTTTTTTCCACCAAGTAAGCATTCAACTAAAGAGCATGTAACTAAAATAATTAATACAGAGATATGAAATTAATAAACAGATATCAAAATAATATGCGTTTAAAAATTATTTTTTAAAGACAACACTTCTGAAGAATCTAGAGTCTTGGATGTTACACATGTACAATGAATTTCTCATTTTGTTTTCAAATATTTAAAAAAATATTTTTCAAAATTTTTTTAATATATCAAAATTTTTAAAATTTTCAAAATTATTTATTTTGTCAACTGATTCGCGCATTGTCTCTGACTTTATGCAATCGTGCAAAATTTCAGATCGATTGGACAGGTCAAATAGTGTCATATATGGATTTTAAGATTTGTAGAAGACGAAATAATTTTTAAATTTTATTTAATAATGAAACAATTTTTTTATTTATAAAATTATTTATTCTGTCAATTGATTCATGCATTGTCTCCAACTTTACGTAAGTGTGCAAAATTTCAGAACGATTGGACAGGTAGAAGTGTGTTAAATATCGATTATAAGATTTGTAGGAGACAGACAGACAGACAGACAGACAGACAAACAAGAAGTGAAGTTAAAGAGAAGTGTTGTAATAATAAAAAAGGAATAAAGCCTTATTTATAGAATTTATGTTTATCACAAATTTGTTTCGCACAATTGTTATAGGTGATCAATCATGCTAATTTAATGAAGTGCACGATTTAACTATAAAGAAAATCCTTTAATGAGCCTAATGCTGAAGCAGCGAGATGAAAAGTTTCTAGATGATAAGATTCCCATTGTGGCAGAATACCTCATTTGATCAGAATAGCAGCCATGGCAAGAACTTCAAGGGATTCTCGAAGGATCAATTTCAATAATTTATAGAGAACTGTGCCGTTTGATCACGGTAATTATTGCCAAGTCACCAGGCAATTCTGGAACATGAATAATGCGTTCACGTTATACCTACTTTAAAATGCGATCAATCGGAATTTTTACCCTTCACAAAGATTGGCTAATACTTCTTTAGATAAAGTTTATGAAGAAGTTTCTTACTCCTTGATATAATTTTATTGTCAAAGGATTGTAGATAGATAATGTACAACATTTAATTTGAGATGATATCACACGCCAATTGTACTTAAAATATTATGGTAGAAACCATTCTGTGTTATTTTCCATGACATTTAATCTTTCAGTGCAAACCTTCGTTTCCCACATCGTAGCATCCACAGCGAAAAATTAACACAAGAAATTAGATCAGTACTCACTGCAGTGAGTGACAGAGAGCGCATTTTCTCGTCCGTCCGTCAGTCAAATC